CACCTTTTAATAATCAAATCAATCTTTTCATCCATACATAAAGACGTGCTATGCGTAAAAAATGAAAGTTTAGGTGTGAGATAGACAGGTCCCAATTCCTTGTCATTTTGTCATAAAGATTTGAAGTCCTCAAGAAAATAATGGTTAAAATTAAGATAAATAAGCAGTTAATTTTAAAGAAATTTACATTAGCTGGATGTGGAATACAAATATGTTTCATAATTACTACAAATATTAGCAATAACAGTTAAATTAAACCAACTCTGATATAAAATAATCCGAATACAACGTTGCTGACATAAATAACAGCGAGCTCATCAAGCGTCAGCTCTGGTCCTCGAGCTGCCAAGAGTGAGTTCCAAGTCATCAGACCCACAATCCTCGTGAATCCTCTCTCCTTCCCATGGCTTCACCACTCCCAGTTGCTGCAACTGGTTCTCATTGCTGCAACTCCCAAATGCAAACTCATCAGAAGCATCATCTGACATTTGCACGTCCGACGGTGGCATGACCGGAGAGCACATGCCGCTCTGGCCAGGAGTCCACATCCTGGACGATGCGGCACTTGGAACTCCGTCCTGATAAAGCCCAAAGGGGCTCGACATAATAAGGCTGAAGGTGGGTGATGTTGGGCTGCTGGTAGGTATCTGAATCCCCGAGAGCCATGCCGGATCAGGAATTACCTTCTGTCCAGGGCTGGGCGGCGTTGAGCCCTGCAGGAAAGCTGCATAGTGTGATGCAGTGACCGGCCATGGCGGCTGCAAGGTGTTGGTTTGATTGTCCCAATCAGTTTTAAGGCGGGGAGAACGGGCGGTGGGGGAGCTGATGGGAGGGGTGACGGGAGCGCTGATGGAGCCGTGGTGGATGGAGAGGTTGTGGAGGCTGGGGGGCTTGGATGAGGAGGCGGAGGAGGAGGAGGTTGAGGAAAGGTTTTTCAGCCATGGAATCAGGGAGTTTGCGTCTGTGGTGGCGTTGTTGGCATTGGTGAAATAGGATGAGGAAGCTGGGCTTGGGAAGGAGGAAGCATAGGGGCTTGGCTGATATGATGAACATGGGCTGGCTGGAGCTGAGCATCCAACAATGTCCATGCGCTCAGGGGGTTTGCATCCCTGTTTAAAAAGTTTAAAGAGTTAATAATTTGCTTGACTCGAAGTTACAGAGCATTTTAGAACTGTCTCTGATATGAACAAAACGAAGAGTGCTAAAATGCTCAAAGCATAATAGAGGTTGCCTGATATATTCAGCCAGTCTCATATTCTCATCAAACACAGAATTCAACAATGCTTATAAAAGATATTCTCGTACCTTTAATGTGTCATCTGCTTGCAAATAAGCCAATTCATTTCAGAAGATGCCATACAAGACCAAGGCGGAAGAAAGAAGAAAATAACGCCTTATGACTTTATTTAGTGTAAAACTACTCGGAAAATTTTAAATTATATAT